GGACTAGTATATCAGAAGTTATTTAGCTTTAAAGTTTTTAAAAAATACACTCTACTTATAAATTCCAAAAATCGGCCGATATGATATTAAATTTGTAACTATATACTGTATATAGAGGATGATCATATAGAGTTTTGACTATATAAGAAACCAACCTTTCGTGCACTAATTAAAAGTTTTCCTTAAACGATTTTACTAAATAATCGCATAAACCCAAATCCTAATATAAAGACCTACCCAACCCTAAACGAACTAAAGAATTTTGTCGTTGGTCACGCGGGGGTGACTCCCCCACTTTTGGAATATTCCCTGACTGTACTATTTCGCCGAAAGTTTAGCCCGATTTAAACCTGATATCGATATAGTAACACCTGACACAGTAGTACAAAAAATGTTAAATTTTGCAATGACATTTTTTTATAGTATTAAATCTTTCGTTTTACCATAATCACGATAATGCGTATGGTGAGCTATTGTCCAACAGATGAAAAGGCCCGTGAAAAAAAAACAGATAGTAACTTTTATTTGGTTTAGATTAATCAAGACGAAGAAGTTGAAGCTGAAGTTACTTGGGAAGATCAACAAAAAATAAATTCGTTCAGTAAATTGAATGTTAAGTTCTCAGACATTGAAGAAAGACATGAGGAAAAACAGGTAGTTAACATGGATCATCAAACTTTAACAAATTTTTTTAGTTTTCATAAGCTGAATTTAAATTTTAAATCAAAGAAAGAACATGAATATCTTGATGATCTATTACAAGAGCTAGAACAACAAGAACTACTAAATGATGAATGTGAACTTGTCAAGTTAATTATTTTTCTTGTATAATTTTATTTATATTATCAATTAAATGAAATTATAATTTTTATATTTTATAAAGATACAAAATAGGTGATGCATTTGTTTCAATTCCTTTAGAAGACGCTGTACAACGCACCAAAAAGGAAAAAGAACTCATATCAGAAGAATTACAAAAACTCAAGAATGAAATGGACTCTTTAACTACTGAAATGGATAAATTGAAGGTGTCACTATATGGAAAATTTGGCAAGGCTATTAACTTAGAGAAAGATTGAAGATAATAATTTTGTATATTACACTATTCATTAGTTTATTCATAATCCTTGAACACTAATCGTTACCATATTCTATAATCAACATTGATGAAGTTGTAATATTACAAAAATTTATTATTGTATAACGAGTTGATAACTTTATTAATAAAAAAAAACAACCAATGTTTAAACTACGGGCTCGAGATTTGATGTGAATTCACATAGTTAATCGCGTTCAGCCAAAGGATTTGCATGGATTGTAATGGATTTGATTCGTATCTCTTGAACAGGACGACTTTTTTCATCGACGGGAACTTTTTCGATAGCATCCAATGTTGTGTCGGAGCCATCAATGACTCTAAAAATTTGTACATTATAGTTAAGTAATCAATCCAATAATTAATCATTGAAATAATATAATGAATATTAGAGATTGTACCCATTGAGAAAATTTATACCTAAATTACCCGGATATCCGGGTTACAATAGAGATTGTATTCAATCAAGAAAATTCCTACCCGGGTAATATTAAATTATCCGGGTAATTTATTACAACCATGTTACAATCTCTACTACCCAGGTACAATCGCTAATATATATTTACGATACATACTTTCCAAATACCGTGTATTTTGTATCGAGATGAGGCAATTTGGTGTATGTAATAAAAAACTGAGATCCGTTCGTATCCGGACCATTGTTGGCCATGGAAATAATTCCTCGGGCGTTATGCTGAAATAACATCATCATTTCAGTAACTTTTAACAATTCTGCACACATAAATCTAAAAATATGAGTGATGAATAATCACCTTTAATGATGACTTAATTTCATCCGCAAATTTTCTTCCCCAAATTGAATTTCCACCTTTACCCGTCCCCGTTGGGTCGCCGGTCTTATGTTTATTAGGAAAGTCAATATAATCATAACGAAATTTCAAATCAAGTCAACGAAGAAGTAGAATTAGTATGGAATTACCTGAACCATAAACCCTTTTATGTTTCTAGCATTAATTTAAATTTTAGATCATATATTAATACTATTTTATAATTATAAATCCTATAAATCCTACACATACCTATGAAACAAATTATTATCATAATATCCACTCGCACAAAGTGCTAAAAAATTCTATTAAAAATTTTTTTATTAACAAGAATGAAAACAAGAAATATACAATATTGTCTAGTAATTAAATACAAACCTCTGCCGTTTTAGGAACAGCTTCGCAAAAAACTTCAATCTTGAGATCACCCAAATCTGTATGCAGAGTAACAGACTACATGTTTAATTAAGATAATTGTTTATAAAGTTTGATCAGAAGCAATAATAATTTTAGGCCTAACCATTTGCTCTCGCGAAATTCTTTTTTGATTGCAAACAGTGATGAGGACACATTTTATATCTTTTTATGGTATCACAAGGCAACAGCCAATTGTACTACATAAGGAATAAATTGGAAACGTATTATGAATTCTGGGTACAGTGTACTACTCAGCGTTTTATTTCTCACCATTTTTTATGTGCTCTAGTCTTTCAGTGTTCCTTAAGTAGATTTCTACCTTTTTTTTTTTTTTTGTCTAAAAAAATATTTATTGCAAATAAACTTTGGGCTCAAATTGAGCCTTCGAAAAAAAAAAAAAAATAAATGGCAAAACCAGATTTGAGTGATTTATTTTATTACATCAAGCCACAAGGTGAAGTAACTGCAGTTTATAAAAAAAAAAGAAAACAAAAAGCCTTTAAAGTGTTCTAATGTTACATACTTTATAGAACAAAGCAATCATAGTTCGCTTTCACAAGGAACAGCTAGTGACTTAAGCGAGAACATAGGTCCAAATTTAAACGACTCTGACTTAACAGCCTATTACGATCGATTTGTTCGACCGTATAAAGAAAAAGGGGTTGAACGAGACCCTACATATTTTCATTATATTAATAACCTTCCAGGTGATTTTTTAGGATAGGAAAAAAAAAAAAATCACTTTTTCATGATTAGATAGTTACAAAAGGTCTTAAGTTTTTTTTTCTTTTTTGTGGGGATTTATGTGGGACAGGAAAAGTAAAGATAATTCCAGATAGAAGTTTCAGAAAATTCTTTGAAACCAAAAATAAAAGAAAATGGGGCAAAAAATATCCACCAGAAGACTATCCACTAGATGTTAAAACTATCGAAAATAATATGTTGAACTTACTTAAACCAGGGCAAATTCCAGGAGTAAGTATATTGTTGTTATTTTCCTAGACAAGGAATTTCTGACTATAGACAATCATTCAAATAAATTTGATGGATATGCATGATAGTTTAATCCGGCAGAATTTGGCTTAGACGATGAGAAAAAATCATATTCAACGTCATGTCCAACGTCAACACATAATAATAATAATAATACTCGTTCAACAAAAAGTAGCACCAGTAGTAATTTAGAATTGGGTATGCATATTTAAAATGTCCGTTGATCGCATAATAACCATTTTGTGAAAAAAATAACATTAAATTTGCCCGCGACAATGCTGTAATAGCTTCCAATACAGCAACTTTGGACGGAGATGATCGGACACATGAGAAGAAAAAAGTATGTTAATTTGATTATTTCTGTTACACAATTATTAGCATATCATGAAGCTAAAAATATCATGACACATAGAAAAAGAAGCATAAACATGAAAGTAATTATGATGAGAAAAAAAGAAAACATAAACATGATAAAGAACACAAAAAACGAAAAAAAGTTGGTATTGATGCGGCTTTTATGAATCATCATTCCTTGAGCACGACCGCATAATT